TTCCAGTGTTTTGTTATATTAATTTTGATAAGAATAAATTTTATTAACCTTTTTCGGACTTGTGTATTTAATCTATTACGAACCCGTACGCACGTAACAATATGTTTCTTAGTCTTACCCGTACACTCTACGGACGCCATGGTAAGTCTTGATGTCACGTTGCTGACATTCCTTTGACTTTACTTTTGTGACGTGAGGCTCACTCCGTCTATTCTAACTTCCTTCGCTATATCACCTTTATTTATTACGGCTTATTGGCAAATTTCTTTAACTGGAAAACGTCACTTTTCTTTGCTATATCTTAAAAACTTCAAATTTTCGACTATCGTCGTAAAGCTTGTCTAGCGTCCGCTGCACAGTGTTGGCAATGTAACATGAGACCGTCGACTAAAGTCATGTTACGCTAAATATTGTTTTGTTTCTGCCGCACATTGATGAAGTTAAGTATAATAAATAGCTAAGCTGGTATTGATGTCGTTATATCAGGTTAGCTATGTAGGCTCGTTTATTTCACAGGAACCAAAAAATGCAATTCAGCTTCACTTGCCGTAAGCACTATACGGGTACAGTTAATGTTTTAAGCCCCATAACCTCTTTATTTTACTTCTTAGAGACTCTTTTCATTTTTTTCATTTTTACCCAATAATTTTTGAAACGTTACGTTAATATTTTTAATGCCTATAAATCATAGATAACAGTTAATAGCAAGCTAATTCTGAAATCTTTCAAATTCATAGGCTCAGTATTTTTTTAATATGAAATATGAATTCTTTATATTTTATTATAGATGCACCTTTAGTACCAAAACTACTTACTGCAGTTAACTTAAGAGTAGAAATATTAATTAGTGAGTTTTTTTTTAGAATTTACTTCTTAGAATTAAGATTCTGTTTGTAAATATTAAATAAATCCAGTTAATGTCATCCGTATTAGACTGAACGGCAAATAAATGATAGAAAATAATTAATTTAAATTAAGATCGCCTGTCTCTGGCCTGATAATCATTTTCTATTCCGATAGTACGTAACCGAGTATAAGTTTGTTTCGTTTCCGATAATTACTGAGAAATCTCCATAAATCTACGTCACCATTAAAGTTTCCTTACTTTCATGGAAGTTGGCTATTATTTGAATAGAGTGAAACCTTTGTAAGGATGCCCCGACATACAGGTTCCCGCACCCTTATTTAGTCTTACTTGGCAAAGTCAAATTTAATTAATTTTTACTGGCACTTTCGTGCCAGGGCATCGTTATGCAAGACTGATTTTCTTTCGCGTTTCTCATTAGTTAATTTAGCGGAAACGGTACTTAGTAGATCCATGTCTCCTCTTTCCAAAATCACTTCAACTTCTGACCATCTTGTAAGAATTATTTTTAAACTTACAATTAAATCTAATTTAATCATTAGATCTGGTCTTTATTTAGTTTGTTATCACATATATTTTGCTCAGACCTGTAGGTTATGAAGATTAAGGGTACGCGGAAAGAATACTTAAGCTAGATAGGCTAACTGCGACATGTGTGTGTAATGGAGTGAACGCCTGACGTGTTATATTAGAGAATTTACAATCAGTTTTGCTAGTTTAAGATCCAGTGTTTCCTGTTTTCCGTTCGAACTTAGTTAAATTATTTATTTAGATGATGGTTTTTATCATAATAAAGCTTTAGGGTGTTTAAGGCATAATAGTCATTAAGTCAATTTACATCTGTTTAGCAGGGCTTAAGCCACAGCCAATCGGGGAAGGAAACGTTTTACATGCTTAAATGCGTAGTTGACTCAAAGAAACCGTCGATTGCTGCTTGCTTTTCTGTGATTGGTCGGCTCTTATACCAAACGGCATAAAGCTGAAATGTTAGAACATTTAGGAAAAGTCCTTAAATCAATTTTTCTAAGGTAGCAAGGTCTGATTGCCTAGCAACGAAGCTCGGCTTAGACCACGTATTTTAAAACCACCGTGTGAACTTAACTTAAAATATTAATTAGCTGAAACAAACATGTGTATTATTTGAAAGAAAATTGTACTTTGTAATTGTCATACTGCGACGCAATCCAACTAAATTTAGCAGTGTTATCGTCAAGAAGATGATCAATATTTTTTGTATTCTGCTACCTTTAATTGTACAAATAAAAAGTTGTTGAGATTTAATCTATGTTTGCAAACTGAGTTTAGTCAAAGTGATTACGCACAGAGCAGAGAAATATCTTTACCTGAAATCCGTCAGGTAAACATATTTGTCAGGATATTTTCAGTAGCAGAATTATAAACTTTATAAAAAATTGTGGCATAAATGTTCCGGCGCATTTATACAATGTCCCGCATTTTCACAAAGGTGACATTGCTTTTGTTTTAATTGGAATAAACCAGAATAACGTTGCGTTTGTATTTTTCGAAAAATAATTCTTTATATTGGAAAAATTTTGCTACCATTTAGTGCAATCTGCATTTTTTAATATTTTATTTCTATCAAAATTACACATCGCTGTATACATTATTTTAGGAAAGGAGGTTTACAGAATACTTTCTTTTTTATTAATGAATTTCTGTATTCAGATCTAGATTCATTGACTATAATTCACAAATTTAATGTAATTTTTATATTAGATCCTTAATATTTTATCTACTTTTATTTTATTTTTTCTGTATACAGGTTTTAAAAATGTTGAAATTTCAGTAATTTTCTTTTCTGAACTAAATATACGCACCAAATTTACACTAAGGCTAGAAAGCAGCTTTTGAGAGCATTGATTACTAATTTACTATTTACCAACTACAAAATATACACATTATAGACGTAAGAGGGAATTGTAAAAAAAGTAACTTTATATGTATTTCTGTAGTACTATAACAACAACAACAACAAAAAAAAAAAAAAAAAAAAAAGGTAAATTAACACACACACATGTGGTAATTTGGCAAAGCAAGCGATGGCCATCAGGCTAATGGAATGAATATCTTAATTAAAAACATTTTGAAGAAAACAGTATTTGTATTCAGTTGGGGAAATCTATGGAAGTACCCATCAAGCTAATAGTTTCAGCGGCATTCAAACCTTTGAATTACCAATATTCAGAACTTAAACCCGCATATCTGTAAATCACAGATTGCGGTTTGGAAGCTCCCAGTTAAGAGACGTTTTATGTCTCACATATTTATTAGTCCATGCAGGCATATCTCTTTTGTGTGTAACGAAGTTTCTTAACCTCTCTCAAGAAATTCGACGACGTCTTATTATAAACAAAGATCCGGACTACGCGATTCCTGACAGTGATATGAGCAATATATCCGTAGTCTCGAGAATTGGTAATCGGAGATCGTTAGAATCCCGAACTTCGCTCTATGTGGTTTCCCTCAATCCATTGATTTTAAATTTCCTAAACTCATCAATCCTCGATCAATGAGGTAACGCGTTAATCCTCACAGCCTGTAGACTACGATTCTCCAGTAATCGAATTCAGACATTTGGTGGTAAGTGTGTGTGTGATTATGGCAAAGCCTCGAGGGCTATCTGCCTAAGAGGAGGGATGCCTTCGTGGAGGACTTTCTAAGGGAAACTGGCTCGTATACACGTTACACATGGGGAAAACCACGAAAACGCCCATGCAGCCAGCCCGTTCGCGGGATTTGAGCTACCAGTGTTCAGCGACTTTACCGCTCGGCCGCTGGTGAGCCCATTTGGTGGTAAGAGTTTCTTCTTCTTACATGAGACATGTCTTCCTACACGAGGTTCTTTTCGAATGAGAAACTTCCATTTCAGTTTGCTTTCGTAGGCTACTTTAGTTTCTTGCTTGTAACATGTGCCTTAAAATGCTAATCATTTGCTTAGCCCAGCGTTTTCTACTTTTCATGCAAATTTAGGAATCTTGCTCACTTCCTTCATGGTCGTAGTGTATCAGTTTCAGTGGACGGAAGTATGCATTGTTATTTGACCACATTTTTCAAATCTTGGCTCAGTAATTTTTGAGAAATAAAAAATATATGTTTTTTCCCTATTTAACATAAACAGTTACTGCCATAACAGTTTGAGCACCAACAAGTAATTGTAGTATCCTAATTACTGTGGTGTGGAGTGTGTCTTTGTGTGACGATATGCAATCATCACACCTATGATTTCAAAAAAATTCTAATGTCTCTACAACCTGGTGTCGTCGCACGTGACACCAGGTTGTACGGATATTAGGAATTTTTTTGAAGCAGGAAAGATGAAAAATTAAAAACGCCTTCGCCGGGAATCGAATCGTGGACCTCTGGAATACCGGTTCAGTGTGCAGACCACCACACCACGATGACACGCCAAGAAGGTGGGAGAAATACCTTATAAAGGTCATCTCTAATACTGATCCATAGCGCTTTAACAGCCCAACAGTCAAGCCATCTTCACCCACATTTTTGCCACTCATATGAAAAGTCTTTCAGGACGCATTTTTCTACAGGACAATGCTCAGCGACTCATAGTAAGAATACTTCAGAAATGCCGTTGCCACACTATTGCTCTTCCTTGGCTTGTCCGATCCACAAACTCTATTGCCGATTGAGGATGTTTCGACAAACGTGTCCGGCTTGCGACAGCGAGTTAGACAGACTGGGAGTTGGGTCCAGTTACAGGTGCGCTAATAGCAGTTCTGGAATGAGATGGCGGAGGACACCATACGGGACCTGTTTGCCTCAAGTTGTACCATATCGCATAGCGTGTTCACGCTGGAGATGGCCCAGTGGGTACTAGAATCTCTGCTCATTTCTAGTTTTTCCTATAGTAAATTATTCTTTTGATCTGATTTTGTAAATACTTACTCATAACAACATTGTCTTCCCGTGTATGAAATTTCTCTCGATTTTGACAACACTTTCTTGGCGCTCAAAGTTTTAGGGCAATGAGCGCATTTAATTTATCTTAGTACTGAGCTTCGATATTTTGTAACGGGGTTAAAATCATTCCAGAGCTTTAAAATATCCTGCATAGCATTAAAACATTTTAGTTAAAAATGACTTCTATACCATATAATGAACTGTAAAAAATGTTTTCTATTTTATTCTAGCATTCATACAAAGCATATATCAGATGTATCAACAACAGTTTCATTCAGCCAATCGATATAACCCGACGTTGCGGTGTATACGCTTGGAACAAGGGGACGCCCGCAGCCCAGAATCGTAACAAATGATGCGACGCCTATAGCTAGTGGTCTGCCACTCTCAGGATCTTCGTAAACCAGTGGACCTCCTGAGTCACCCTAAATTCGAAATAAAAAAGTTATATATAAAATTCTTGCCATTTTTGTTGTTATTATCCTAAAAGTTATTAAAACAAATGTACAGAAGTCAAATGAACACTTTACCAAAATCGTTTTGAGAATGAATTAAATTTTATTGTATTTAAGAAATAATAAAAGACTGCCATGTTTTCTTTAATTTGCTGCCTAACATGAATGGAAAAATTTGCAGTAGATTATTTATTTGCAAAAGCAAAAAACCGAAATTCATTATGTAACTAATAAAGTATGATAAAAAAAATGAGAAATTTCTCTAAAATGTAAGTTCTCCCAGTCAAAGTTTACTCTGTTAAAAAATATATATAAGTTTTTAATCCTGAACTGGATTTCTACTATATTTTATAGCTACAAATATACGGATATCTGTAGACGATACTAAGTTTTGATAACTTCAGTCTTGATACTGTATCTTCTTTCTATGGAGATTTCTAATTCCTTAACGGTCTGCCAATAACTGTTAGGATAAGACCATTTAACAGTGGTAGTTCGATCCGATTTCGAATCCCTGAGAACGAACGGACGTAATATATAGACGCTTTCATGGATTTCATCTTAGGAATTAGTGTCCAAGGTTCTTTAAACTGCCTATTTCCAAGTAACCCTTCCTTGAGAAATAGTTCTTATACGTTTTATTCTTAATTAAAATAAATCGAACAGTCATTTCACTAATGCAGAAATACTGCTTGTTGTTAGTATAATATCCCAAATTTTCGTACAGTTGGATTGAGAATGAATGATTAGCTGACCAAGCTGACCAGCTGTTGAAAAGTTGCTGTAGATGTTTGTGGCGTGTTATGCGTTATGTTAAAAGGTGTGTTACGCTTATGTGGCGTATATACTGAATTTCAAACATTTAAGTCCGTATATTAAGTCGTATAAATCAATGAAAGATTTATAAGCATCTTAATACTGTTTGGTGTTATTCCCTTATAAGGTATTTCTCCCACCTTCCTAGCGTGCCTTCTTGGTATAGTGGTTCTGCACACGGGGCCGGTATTCCAGAGATCCACGGTTAGATTCCCGGCGAAAGCTTTGCTCATTTTTATTCTCTCTGGCTTTTACAATTAACCAAATGTATCTACAACTGTACGAAAAAAAAAAAAAAAAACATTTTTATCTCCAGGCGCTCGAGACTGTGTATCTGAAATTATAAAGACATGCTCATTTAAAAATTATTTTGCAATATTGCTGTTGAACTGAATTTTATGGTTTAAGTGAGAAAAACATGATATTTAATAAGTAAAGGTAACACACAAAATGGTAAGTAAAGGCTCCTTTAGACGTAATTTAAAATCTGTAACCTTTTAGATTTTTTTATTTTATGAATGTCTCGTATGCCTACGTCACGTTAATAAAGTTAACGAACGTTAGAGAAGTACGGTCAACGGACACACTAGTTTTTAATTTTTATATTTGTGCGTTTTGAAATTCGGCGTATTTGTTATAAGCGATAATAACGCCAAATGTGCTTTACGCACTTTGTTAAAATTATTTGAGAGTATGAAAGATGCATAATTTTTCCCCTCGTGTACAATGAGGTTGGTTTTAGGTTTGGTTTATAAGGGAAACTGCCTGGTATACACGTTACACATGGGGAAAACCACGAAAACGCCCATGCAGCCATGCCCGTTCGCGGGATTCGAACCTCGGACCGAACTACCAGTGTTCAGCGACTTTACCGCTCGGCAGCTGGTGGGCCTCGTGTACAATGAGGAAAGGGAAAGGAAAATATGTTGCTATAAATTAAGAATAAAAATTGAATTATTTTAGATGCAAATTAAAAAAACTGCGCCAAGATTAATTTTAAAATTTTTTGTTAGGTTTCTCACCAAATTTTGCAAAATTTAATATTTGGACATAATTTGAGTAGTAGAATCGAAATGTGTAAAAGATGCAACACGCCATTTCCGAAACAATTCGATTTTGTGTCAAAATACTTATGTTAGAACAACCGGTGACGGTTAATACCTATGTTAGAACAACGCTATATATAAATCTAATATACCTACTAAGTATGGCTTTCGAGATATGGAAAATACAATCAGCTTAAAGTAATATATAACACAATTTCGCTTAAATTACGCTTACAATTGTGCTTAAAATAATATATAACAGAATATTTAGCATGTATCATTCAGTTATCATAATAATTGGAAATTCATTAAGCAATACCTGGCCGTAAGGTGCTATACACTTATAAATAAAACAGAACAATGTAATGCATATTTAACACATAAAGTATAAATTATAGAAAATGAGAACATTTCTGAAATAATGCATTTTTAAAGCTGAAAATCTGAAAGGAAAACAAAATTGTTTCGAAGTTAACAGTCTCACAACCTAAAGATTAAAACTGCCAGATTCACTTTCCCTTTGTGTGTCAGATTAATTTCCAATATAATTACATTCCATGATATTTGCGTATCAAAATATTATTGAACTTAATGCAAAATGAGCATATCCACATAAACAAGTTTCTCCACTAAAAATGGGACATTTAATTTTCTCCCACCACAAAAACTAATTGACTGAAAAGATCACTTATTTTTGTGAATGACTTTCCTTGGTTTGCATGTGTGTATAAAGGGAATAAAATATATTTTTTCAAAATATATCCTGTATTTATTATTCAGAAATTTCGAGAGCGTACGCATAGACTATTCTAATTACTGAAAGCTGCGATTTTCCTGTAAGACTATAAATTACCTATTTATAAACTTACCGTGCATCCCGTATTTTGCTCTACCTGGGCGTACTCTCTATCTGTCTATCTACCTATCTCCTTATCTACTTACAGAACATGTCGAAAGGTTATTGACAAATTTAAGCAGCATTTTACAATGCAATTACTTGCATTTAGACGTCGTAGTGATTTAAACCTACTTCAAATAACACGGTTTAAAACATTCCTATGTTCCTAACTCTCTATACCGTCCTTAAGTTTGTCAGTAACTTTTAGGGGGGTTAAGAATTTAAATTCTAGATAACAAATCACGTAAAAATATTTTAAGAAAAATGAAAATTGTTTAGAGTTAACCCCACATAGCTGAAATACATATAGTCTAGATGATATAATAGTTTACAAAACCGGCTGTCCAGTCACTGAAATCGGAGTCGAATCCCAGAGAAGGCATGGGCGTCTATGACTATAAAGTGTCTGTGAAGAATAGAGATGCTTGAAATTTGTCGATTTGAGATTGCTATTGAGATGCCGGTGGTAGTAGAAAACAGATAAAATCAAGGAAGAACTAGCCACAAATTATTATATTCACAGTGATGCTTGACGCCTTCAACCAAAGACCAGGTGTTCCATACAGGATTATCTATGGAGTTTTTCGTATGTAGCCACACGTCAGAACATTGGAGAAAAATAAGAATATATACCAATTTTAAACCAATTAAATTCAATGCAAATTACACCAAAAGAAGCAGAAATAATTCCGAAAGAAACACTTCACCAAAAGTAGCATTTCAGTTTTAGAAATGATGAAAGATCTTGTGCAATTTTTAAATAAGGTAAATTAAGTAAAAAATAAATTTCTAATTTTATTGACATTTTCGGGAACGGAAATATTTTGATTCACATTTGCTTTTATTACTGCTATTCTGGTAGTTATTTATACCGCCTGTTATAACGTTAAGCTTTCTTATCAAAAGTTTTTCTTTATCATTAGCTAAAGATTACGTAGGAACTATCTCAATATTTTGAATATAAATTTAGGTATATTTACCAAAAAAGAAATTGAGAATACTTACAAAACATACTCCAGTAGCTCTAAATGAGGTCACACAAACGTGTCTATCTGTGATGGTTATCATCGAAATTGCAAAAAATGCTTGACATAAAGATGTTGGTTCTACTGTCATTTCAGTAGTCATTAAAATTTCCGGTGGCTCTCGAGACTCTGGAAATAAAAATAGCATTTGCATGGCATCAAACCTTTAAGATAACCTTTTCCCAATTAACAACAATGTCACATTTAGTAAGTGCAACAATTTTCAGAATTAAACAGAATAAAGATTGCCTGTTAAAAGTTATACGATTTTGAGAAGCGCGATGATGAATTTGAAAATGGGAAGCATTTTTCGGTTTCTGACACCTTTAACTTTAATTTCGCAATTTAGAGATATGCAAAGACTAGAAAATTTCCAATAACACAAGAACTTCCTTTTTTTCAGGACTAGAAATGTGTTTTACTTTATCAGGCATCTTAACATCAGATGTGTACCACTCAACGTTTTGCATTACAAGGAATTAAATTGCAGATACCATTCACTTTCTTTTGAAAAAATAAAAAGGATTTCCGTCCGCAAATCAAAAGCTGGGAACTAAATCTGGAGTAGAAGCAATATAACAATGGTTCTCACATTTGTTTGCTTCGTGCACCCCCTTCACTAAAGCTAGACGATTATTCCCCCTCCTTTCTAACACTCGAAAAATACATATACATTTATTTAAATTTAGGTTATTTGTTAACGTGTTTTTATAATTAAACAAGAAAAAGCAAAGGAAATTTTGATAAATACCAAAATTTGAATAAAATTTTTTACATTTAAAAAGTAAAACTAAATTCTTTAACAGGTAAATAAAAGACTGACCGCATTCCTCTGAAACTATAATATTTCCCCCTGGGTCTCCTACGATTGAGATACCTTGTAACACGGGATTTACATATAAGAATGATATGATTTTAAAATGGAATAAAATAAAAACTATTTCAGATACAAACAAACGTTTTATATTATTTTGAAGCATAATTTATGACTTTATGCTTTGAGTAAAACATCATTATGAGTCCATCTCGATTTTATGCACTCGAGCGACTTCGATGAATACAGTTTTTGGTTTTTGATGACTGTATACAAAACTTGAGTCTATTGCCACGAATGCAGGGTTCGATGTTTACTCTTAATGTTTCAAGGGTTAGTGTTTTTTTCGTCTGGGACGCCAACTAACAGTTATATTTCGTGAAATTATGCTTTTAGAATTCTTTGATAGTGGTGTCAGCAGCGTAACATGTGGTACTATCTTGTTGGAACCACATGTTCTCTAAATTTGGTTACGTTAACAATTTGCTGTCATCAATCATTGTAGTTCACCAGTCACTGTAAATGCATCTACTCCCTCGTTTTGGAAACAAAATGTTTCGATGATGCCACTATGCCATAAACCATAGTATGCAGTATCCTTTTGTGAATGCAAGGGTTTTTCGTGCAACACACATGGATTATTTCCACATACAAGAAAATTTATTATTTCCACATCCAAACACATTTTTTCTTTTCTTAACATTGCAGAGACATTAGGCTAATTGGAAGCCGGAGAAATGAAAAATGAGCAAACGCCTTCGCCGGGAATCGAACCACGGACCTCTGGAATACCGGCCCAGCGTACAGAACCACTATACCACGAAGGCAGGCTAGGAAGGCAGGAGAAAACATATCCAGTAAACTTAAATGAAGAAAAAGAGAAGTTAATTTTTCCCCCAGAATGAAGTGAAGCGTGTATATAGTCATGAGGAATTATCAGATCACAATACACACAAATAAAAATTAGTGACTGTGATAGCATTTTAAATATGGTTGCCATTGCGTTTTAAAATCGTATCATTTTCACTGGACTACCTTTTATAAGTATTTTGGCTTTTTTCCCTAGTTTCCGAGACAGTAATTCAATTGACGAATATTAAACTCCATTCAGATTGAATATTGTGTTATGGTGAAAAGAATAACAGAATTTATTTATTCTAAAATTGCATATTTATCTGTTCATGCTGTTAAAATTATCAGAGAAAATAGTGAACGTTTGCCATTATTTAGTTCATGGTAAATGTTGATTAATATTCAGTAGGTCTATTGTACATAACAACATTTGTAATATGCATTAATACTTATTTAGTTCATGGTATATTTTTGATTAATGCACAATATGATATTAAACTTCACTTTACTATTATGAAGTTATTGTATACTAAAAGAATCATAGTCTGTATTTTATTTCAATGAGTTAAAGAAACCTCGTTTAAAATAGTCACTCCCTTACTTTAAAAAATGTAGGATAATTATTTAAAGAAGCTTTAAAATGACCCTGTGGATTTCTTTTCAGAATATTATGGCACATTTTATTTCTCCGTTGCAATACGAGCCCTACAGTGGCCGAACGGTTAAAGCCTACTGAAGGGTAGTTTATTTCGGGTTCGAGTCCAGGCGAAGGGGCTAGCTGCAAGGTTTGTTTTCATTAAACCAACGTAACGTGAACAACATCTCCATGCGTAACGTGAATAGGAACTAGTTTCTCTTATAAAGTTTTCCTCAAAGGTATTCACTTAGACAAAATAGCCTTATTCAAGTAAACAACTAACAAATCATTAAAATACGAGTAATTGCACATATTGCTGGCTATAGTATCATTATGAAAATAGTCAGCTTTTGATTAATGTCAGACTCATTTGAATAATTCATTGCCTGACATCTAAAGTTGATTTATTCTGACAATTCTCGAATGAGAAAATTAATATTTATTTGGTCCCTAAATTCATTATGTGTAGATATTCAGCGTAATGCGTATTTCCCCTTTATTTCTTCTGCTTGTTTATGTAATTTAGATAAATTGGGTCAAAACTATAAAAATCCAAACATTACTGGTTCGCGATTTACTTGCTACTGACTAAGGAAATTTTTGAAAAAAAAAGTATGATGAGAAAACTAAGTTAACAAATGAAATTCCATGTCTATGTTAATATTTTAATATTCGAAATGCTTTTTATAGAATGTAATAGGAAATGGAAAGAGTTGTAAAGCATAGTTTGTATCTATATTTTTATTTATCGGTTTTTTTTCGATGTTAGAGAATAAATTATTTTGTATACAATTATTTGCATCATAAGCTTAATTTAAGTTTAAATCCAAATATACTGCTTTGTCTTCAGTAATATATTGTTTAATTCGAAATAATCATCGTCCTGTAGATCTCTAGTGCCTAAATAGATATACAGAGAGTATTCATATATTTCTGTAATGAATTTGCAATTATTTATATATAAATAAACCTCAGAATTTTATTTTCTAATATATTCAGTTTGATAGCCCATTTGTTAAGCTATCATATTACATCTTGATCTCCTAGATAAAAGTCCTTTTCTTAACACATCAAGGTTAATTTTCTTCCACTCCTCTTTTACAATCTTCCGGAATCCATCCGATGTTTTGGGATGCTGCTTATAAAGAGTTTGTTTTAAACATCCAAATGCACACTCATCCATAAAAGACACATCAAGAGACTTCAAGGTTCTTGGACTTTTGTAGAATGCATTTAAAGGGAATAGCTTGAACTCAGGTTTCATTTCGTAGTTTCCCAAAAAATAGAGTAGTAGATTTAGAGGTATGTCTTTGAGCCTTATCCTGATGGAACTTACACAATGAAGATGGTTTAGATAAATAAATAGAATTTCTCCTTTAAAAATAAGTGTTAAAACTATTTCTGATAGTAATCCGAGTTACTTTTAACATTTTTTTTCTACTTTCCTCGTTTTAAGTTTTCTGTTATAAGAGAATCTAGTAATAACAATAAAACTTTTAGAAAACCTTTCCATGTTTTTTGTGAACCAACATGTTCCTTCTACTCTTTTTCGATAGTAAATCGATCTTTTTCTATAGCAATCAGATACAAATCTCCAAGTCTCATCAATTGTAACTATATATTTCCATTTTTCACCTTGAAATAATTTTCATACTCCACATAGTCTTACGCGGAGAAACATATTTCGGCGTTAGGCCGAACACCATGTCTTTTTGTTTTGATTAGCTTTAAAATCAGGTCTCATGAGTTTGTTCACAGTTCCTACAGAGGTATTTAAAGATTTTTCAATAGCTCTTTGGCGCGCCAGATTTTCCTTTAAAACATGAGATGCGACTTTAGATTTAATAAGAGGTGTACGTACCTTTGTTGGTTACGTATTTTTTTCTTTTTCTCATTATGACGTAAACTTTGACATTTCTTTCCTTTCGTATTAATTATGTCATTTATTTTACGTGTAGAAATATTAAAACCATGATTTTCACGTCTTTTTTTAATAATTGAATAAAAGTATTTCTCTTCGGACAGAGCAAAAAATATAGCCTTCGGCCTATTGTTTATTTTTCAGCGACATCTTAAAGAAAAGAGTACTTTTAACGTTGCAGACGATAATTAAACCTTATCCCATTTTTATACCACTCACGTTTGTATTTTAAAATTAATATTTAAATTCATGGAGAAAATCAAAATCGTTACAAAAAATGTGTGAACATCCTCTGTAGATGCGCTTTGTTGTAACTTGAGTTAAAAAATGCATTGGTGTGCAAAAATTAAGGACGAAGTTGAAAAATTAGCTTATCAGTGGAACAAAGAGGCAGAGCGGATTAAAAGACTAATCAAGAGATCAACTAGGGTCAGGCATGTTAACACATGCGAACATATACAGCTAGATGTATTGGGGAAGTATCGGAGGGGTATAAAGATCACTGAAGGTGTGAGCTCAGCATTTTGGGGAAGCTATCCCACGGCATATATCAGTTTAAACGACGTCGAGTTGCTGCTTCAGTGTGAAAATGTCGAACAATAAAGCTGTTAGACGACATCTGGATCCTCTTACCCGAGGTCTAATCATTGGAAAGACTGAGGAAAGTGTGACAAGTGTGGCAGTGGAGTTTGGGATTGCTCACAGCATTGTTTCACTTCTCAGAGAGCATTTCAAATTACAGGAACAGCTATCTGACGGTTCAGCAGTGGTCGCCTACAAGCAACCACAGCAGCGGACGATCGATATATTGGCATATAAGGCAAGTAGGAATAGTCAGCAAACACCGGGAGAAATCTCAAGACATATGCAACAGGCGATTGGATGACCGATATTGCGTTTCACCATGGCCAGGAAGCTGCACAGTGGTGGTCCGTTTGCACGACGACCTGCATGATGTATACTATTAACACCTCCTCATCGGAGAAGGCATTTTCCGTGGTGCAGGGAACACCAGAATTGTACAGATAATTAATGGAGTCGAGTACTCTTTACGGATAAGTGCAGATTTAGTATGAGTTGCGATTTTAGACTCATACACATCTGGAAGAGAGCGGGGAACACGTAATTAACCCCTTCAACATCATCAAAAGGGACCGGTTTGGAGGCCGCGGGGTTCTCGTTTGAGAAGACATAATACTTGGTAGCCGTACCGACCTACACATCTTTGAAGGAGGTTCAGTCACCGGGAAACTGCTGGTGTAACAAGATTCTCCTTCCTTATATGCTTCTTTTCACAGGTACTATGGGCCCTCGGTTCGTTTTCATGGACGACAACGCTCCACCTCATCGCAGAGTTACTATCAAAGAGCTGTTGGATAGTGAGGATATTGAACACGTGGATTGCCCTGCAAGGTGTCTGGATCTAAATCCCGTCGAGCATGTATGGAACTTTCTAGTGAGACGCGTGGCAGCACGTAACTTATTGCCAGTAACGATCACGGAACTGCGATTGGTGCTACAAGAGGAATGGGCAGCAATGCCTCAATAACTCATTGACAACCTCATATTCAGTATGGACAAATGATGTGAAAACTGCACAGCAGTCAGGTGATATCAAATGCCCTATTAAGGGCTGGGTATTTCTTGCTGGACACCTGTTATATGGAGGTTTCGGCCTTCTGTTGCATTGTGCTCTGTGCTGCTTTTTTAATAAAGTTCCTTTCGATTATTTTGATTGTATTTTGGGAAAGGTTTACTTACATTACCCATGTTTTTATATCTTGGGGATCTTATGGTATTATTTTTGTTGATTTGGAAAGCTTTTGCACAACGTTATAATGAAAAAAACCGTCTCATCTTTAATTTTTGCACACCAGCGTATATCTAAATGTACTGCTAAAGTACGTTGTAAGGTTGTGAAAAGTACTAATGACCATCAAGCCGTAGATAAACGGTCATTAGTAGCTTTGAAGTGGAGGTGATGTCTTCGGAATTAATTATACATTTGAAATGATCTTAGTGGAGCTTTCACGAAAATTTAGACCTTTACATTATGATAACCTCCATAAGTGTATCTTCCTTGGAAGATGAAGCTACTGCTCAAAACATATTTGTGCATGACTTATAACCTCAAGGTGTTACCATTTGGCAAAGCAAGATATCTTAAATACATGTGTTCAGTTTAATCAATCTTTGATCGCTTAAAGAACTGAGAGCTTTGAAAGTGAGAAACATACCTTCTAATAGTTTAAATTTAAATTTTATTTTTTTAATAATATATCAATAATAATATATATAATCATTATAAATAAAAGTATACTACAATATAATTAGGACGGAAACATGCTAATGTAAAATTTAAAAGTAGTAAAAGCGAAATCTTAGATTGCTGTAAATTTTCAACAAATCTGTATGAATTTCTAGTGCAATGTCGCCTGATAGGTCCGCTTTCTGGGAGCAAAAATTAGATCGTCTTTGAAATCGACAAAGTTTTATTCGCAATTTAAGACTGACTAATTTTAAGCATTAAATCATAATAATGCAATTAATGATAGATTTACATAATGGCATATATATCTAGTACTGAATCATTTATTTTATTCTTAAATTTGTTAATTTTGAGTTTCATTGCAAACGTCTACGAGAAGTAACACAAAATTAATTTAAACTGTAAAATAGTATATTCTCCCTCCTTAAGTGCGTGCCTTCGTAGCGTAATTGGAAAGCATGCCCGGTTAGCAATGGGAAATTCAAGAGTGTGAGCTACCTCGAGGACAGTGCAACCTTTTCATGTCTTCTTCTTGGAAATAAAACGCGTAATGATCTCTTGAGAGCTCATTTTTTTATCTTTGTGTGTTCCTATCATCACATATAAATATATCTAGTATGCGACAGAGATAATTTGAGCAGGTAAAGTTAGGTAATGTTAGGGAAGCTAACCAAACCTTATACATTATATCATATAAAAGTCTCAGAGTTATCTTCGGTGCAAAAGTAAGTAGTAAAACATTTGTCTTCCTTTTAAGTTAGCTTCTATTCAAATTAGTTTTTAATTTTTTTTTAAATAAATCGATGGAAGCAATTTGTTGCTAAAAGTACAATACTAAAAACAAACAACAAATCTTGCTAAAGTACATTTGTTGCTAAAGGTACAGGTTTGAGATGTAAGATCAAATATAAGCTTTGAGTAAATTCATTTCATTTTAATGTATGATATGAACTATTTCAAATGCATATTGGTTTTTTATTAATTAGAAAACAGTTTTAATTTGAATGTAAATGGAAATAAAAAAGGATTTGAATTTACATAGAAATAAAATAGAAGTTGAAAAAGATATGAAAAGCAAAAACATTTGTGCACCTGAAACTGAAATTCATCAAAACCTGAAACTGAAATTATCAAAATGATAATCGAAACTGAAATAGCCATTTATTAAAGTTTTCCATTCTTAATTTTAAACTCTTCAAAATAATCCTCAACTTCTTTGTTGCAAACCCACAAGATATCTGGTAAATGAATGGATAACTTTCTGTTATAAACATCGTATATTTTCACTTTAACTACTGACAGTAAAGCCGTTTTTTCTGCTGTCTTTTTGGTGGAGGACATTTCGATTTTATTTACTATACTAAACGAAATTTTCACTGATTTTTCACTTTCAGTTTCTGTGGAATTGTCAAACATAAGAGCATTTTTGAAACAATTTTGAAACAAACAAAAAAAAAAAAAAAAAAAAAAAAAAAAGTACTGATTTGAGACAATGATAATTTACCAGTTGATGTGACACCCCACCCCATCGCACGAACAGGTTCGAATTCAAATTTCCTTCCAGCTGTAGGGAGGCAAATAGTAGAAATTGTTTCACTCATTTCCACTGGCTGTGTAGTCCGAAACACAGCTATGTCGTACTCTGAACCAGTTCCATATTCTGGATGGGCTGCCACTTCAGAGAAGTCAATTCGAGTTTCTGGACCTGAGCGACGAATGTTTCCAATAATGCCATAAAATGCAGTGGCAGGTTCTACACTATCTTCGCTGAAAAACACATTTTTTAAAATTAAATATGGTATAGACTCCAAATAATACTTTAAAATGAAACTCGTTATACCATATTTACACCCGCGTATTATCCCCCCTTTTTTTTTACTAATTTTATCGTGCGAAAATCGGGATGGGATAATTATGTTATAATTTAATCTCCGAAAATCGGGGTTACAGCAAGAATACAAAAAATAAAGCTTTAATAACTAAATTAGCCGTAACGATTACAGTATTATTTATGAAAAAGAAACCTACATTGTAATAAGAATACATATTAATATTACGATATCTAATAATTTATGGTAATTTCTATTTCCACCTGGGATTTCGCCCAGCTCTTATGTTGTCCATTTTCCCCTAGTCGCAAATCATTTGAGGTTTGCTGGAACTATTGTCTGCGTCATCTGCTTCAGCTTACAAGCTGTCGTTATAGTAATCGCCAGATTGTCTACCCACGTCCAGTGATCATTAGAACCATCAAATGCATTAGATATCTTTTTTTTTTCTTTGAGATCTTGAATATTATTATTCCATAAATAAAAGCCCATGCACCCATAATCCACGAGAAAATTAATTAGTAAGATGAAAACAATCACAACGTGGACAAATTAATTTTAAAATTTACTGAGCTCTTTTCTGGGTTCTTTCAAAAAGGGGGAAATTACGCGAATATTAAAAACATCACGGAATATTGTGTTAAATATTACAAAAAAAAAAAAAAAAAAAAAAAAAAAAAAAAAAACGAGAGAGAAAATACAAGAGTAAATACGGTATACCGTTCAGAAAAATATAAATTATAATTCTGAAGAATATTTTTCTTTTCGCCTTTTTTCTTTCTTCTTCCTTCGCTTAACGTAGCGCAGTACGTTATATACTATAAAAACAAAAAGTTGAAAGATTTCAGATTTTATACTAATCCCAAAGGGTCTTTTTTTCCTTTACATACACAAACACGTTTTGAGAGCATTTGGACTAAAAACATTTAAAAACTGCCTATCTTTAAAATTTCTGATGGACAATCTCACACGCTGAGATAAAAATGCTTTTTAACATACAGTGTTGCCATTGCTCGCTTTGAAGTGGTTCAGTTTGTTAATCGAAAACTTGTTAAAGTTTTAAAAAATTTTAAATACACAGCAAAGCATTTAAAAATAGAATATCTTTAGAATTTCTGATAGACAGTCTCGCGCGCTGGAGATAAGAATCTTTTTTTTTTTTTTTTTTTTTTCGTACAGTGTTACCACTGCTCGTTTTGAAATCGTTGAATTTATTAATCAAAAATTCGTTTAAGTTTTATAAATTTGAAATAGAGAATAAAACAAATTCGAAATTCAAAATTCGGGCATCCAGGTGCCTATGTCCGGGTGGAGGATTACATTATTCAAAATTTAATGGCTTTAGGTATAGTCGTTTTTTCACAATGAGAGAAACATATATACATTCATGCAGATTCTTCATTACTTAATTTCTTTAAATATAATATAAGGCGATAATATTTGGTGGCAACAATTTAAAAACTGCTTCACCATTCATAGTGAACGCCACAAAATGCCGTTTTAAAACTAATATCCCTTCTGGGATACCGCCCCCTTGGGGTAAAAACAGAAATAAAATTATTATTAAAGCTATTAAAAAATTAATAATGTTATTGCCGGATTGGACATTACCATAACATTTTTAAAGCTTTTGAAATGTGAGTTGAACAAATCTCAACAGCATTTTTTGGTAGCATTGTAAAACTCATATATACAAAGTTTTTCGAAACGAATGTGTGATCAAATAAAGGTTTTGGGAGTTTCAATAATATTTACTGATGGTCATAAATGATTCATTAACTGGTGTAGCTGTATCTCCGTAATAGCTTATAATATACATTTAAAACTTAATTATTAAGAACATTCATATAATAAAGACGATATCTGCTCTTTAAAGGAGTCTCTTTATTAAACGCTCATCTGCTCTTCTTTCTTAAACGCTTTTACCGTTTAATAAAGAAGAAGAAGTGAGAAGCCAAGTGATACGTTGCATAAAATCATTTATTTGAGAAGGCTCAGAAGCCTGATTCTCATTTCATTACGTTTCTTTATTAGAGATAACCCCCATCGCGAAATTGTAGGCTATGAAAGCGTATTTTAGGGACTAACATTCAATAGAATTCAATTTCTTTACGGAAGAAATCTCAGTTTTGCTCATGATCTAGGATTATTAACAAGAAAATACAAATGAAAATTTTATATAGTACGATATTTCTGAGCTATTATCCATCTGAAAATGTACGGTATCCTTTGGATGCGTTTAAACCTGTGCATTATATTTCGATGCTCTCTACCTGTGTTCCTATATGAGAGGAAGAATTTATAGTTGTAATAATAATAATGAAATATGATTAAAAATTGAATTTTGGGTTAAATTATGCTTACAATTGCACACAGTGCGCTGCAGTCATCACTATAGTAGGGGAGATCAAAAATGAACTGCAAATGAAACGGCCATTATAATGGAGAGCTACCTAGAAAAGAATGAAATTAGTTTCTAGTTGAAATGATATACGTTTAAATGGTTGTTATAAGAAATTTCAAACTTTTAGCTACCGTATATACTCGCGTATAAGTCGATACCGCGTATAAGTCGATCCCCCCCCCCCCCACTTCGACATAAAAAATTCGTAGAAAATAAAAAACCCCGCGTATAAGTCGACCCCCACTTCCGAAATCGATCTAGAAACTTAGAAAAAAATTTTTAAGTACTACATTTATTATTTTTAGTACTACATTTATTTAAAATCATCTGAGAAAAAATGTAAATATAGGATAAAAAATACTTTGGTATCAAACAAAATCAAAATCCTTCAACGTCCGATTCATGGTCAGATTCGCCAAACATTTCATAGAACTCTTCTGTCGTCATTGGCTCGTTATTATACATATTTTAAGTCTCGAAATCTGTATTGTTACTATCACTACTAGACGTGTACGCCTGTTAACAAAAGTATTTCATGAATGAACAATAACTATTATAAAGACTTATACGTACGTAAAAACTATCTGCATTTCTCTTTTCTTGGCGTGTTGGCGAAACATTTTTATTGCTTTATATTGATCGGTTGTTCGGGGGCTGAAAATTTTTTGGTTTAATCCAAACTTACTCTATTTAAATATGAAACTCTGTGATTAATTCGTCACATAATTTAAGTCATGAAATTACTTCAAGTAGTGATAAGTCGTCCAATTTGAGTGCGAGAAGAAAACAACTGCATTATATAAAGAAACTTTTGAACTTCCGATTCTTTTAATTTTTTATGGCCCCACGTATAAGTCGACCTCCCACTTTAAGTCTTTTTTTTGGCCAAAATATCTCGACTTATACGCGTGTATATACGGTACTTCTTACACCTATATAAGTTTTCATAATATTGTCTGAAATTTCTCATCAATAAAACCTTATGCATTTTGAATACTGACCTAAGAATAATGAAATTTTTAAGACTTTTAGGAGAACACAAAATAGTAAAAATTTCCTAAGTTAATTTTCAGAAAGTTATGAATCTTACCATCCAAGGAAATTCGCCTTCTTCAGCTTCTCTGCCATTAACTATCTTGGCATCTAAATCATCTGGAGTGGAAGAAAACAAATTTACAAGTGTTATTTATGGTTGCATAGTTTTCATTAATTTGCATGCAGAAAATGCTATAGCAATTTTAAGCTTTCTTTTAAAACTCATTAATTAAGAATAAAAATTTAGTATCACAATATAAATAGATTATATTATATAAAAGTTTAGTACTTTATTTATGTTTAGCCATCATTTTAAAGTAGGTTAAAATTTAAAATGGAATACAAACAGTATGCCACATGTACCAGAAATTTCATTTGACTTTTCTGTGTCATTTGTTGACATTATCTGCAAGAAATATATTTTTATATGAAATAAAACTTTAAAGACATATTCTTTTACAATATATTTATATGCATATGTAGAAATACACGTAACTATGAAAAATCACAAAAGATGTGTTATAACATTATATAAAGTTATTCTTAATTACATCTTATTTGAAACTAAATTACCAGTATACTCTAGTGTTAAAAAATAGCGAAAATCATAAGGACAAATAGTTTACATATGCTGTCTCACAATGAAAATGCTAGCCTATAAATGTTTTTCTTCAGCACTGTATAAATTTCAAGGTAGGTTTATATTTCACATTAGCGGTATACAGAATGTCTTAAAAGGTCCTTGCCAAACTTAACAAGTTGGTCTGCCATACCATGACAAACAAGATTTAGATAGGAGCTTGGTATAGGAGCTTCGTATCCGAAAATGCGAAAGGCGACAACTAAAGGGCAATGTTCGCAAGCTTATGGGAGAGTGGGCAGTGCGATCATTTCAGGCGAGGACTTTGCAAGAGGAGGTTTAATCGCTTTACTAACTCAGATCTTTATGGGCATTTTGTGGAAAGAGTGTTCAGGATCTGTTGGTTGACGTTCCAGAAGCTACATGCCGAAACATCTGGTTTCAGCAGGATGGAGAGCTTGCACATTTCAGCAGCACTGTTTTGGAAAACCTCAACAGGTCATATCTTGATCGCTGAATTGGTAGAAGTGGACCATCGGGGATTGCAGTGGACCACTCGCATGGCCAACGCGATCCCCGATCTGACTTCTCTGGATTTCTACCTGTGGGGATGCATGACGCCCAGTAACATCAGACATGAATCTCGTCTCCAGAATCGTGGAAACGGCTGCACGTGTCCGTGACACAGCTGTCCACAGCTGTAAATTCAGCCATCGAAGACGTGAGATAGTTTGAAATAGAAATCCAATTTATCGAACATAATTCTGTCCCTGCACATTAAATTTGCCTGGGTTTTGAGCATTCTTTCTGGTGTGGCACTTTTATGATAGGCAATATATTTTGACTAACAACTAAATATTCCTATGCAATATTTATTTGTTAAAAATCATTTCGAAGAAATACTGAATATACATTTTCCTTTGCAAAATAAAATGTAATAAAATCGAAACAAGTAATAGCACTTAACCATAAATGTACGTACCTTATTTAAATGCTTATTCCATTTTGAGATTCCTAAGTCTTCGAAATGTGTCAGTTTTTTAGAATTTTCTCTTGCTGGCTTAAACATGCTTTTCTTTCCATATTGTTTTGTTGCCGAAACCTTAAATATATTATCGATTATAATTACGAGACATAGATTCAAATTGTAAAAATTTTGCAATCATTGCTAAAAAATGCTGTTTTATTTTTCCAGAAAATAAATAAATATATAGAATAAAAATTGAGGAGAATTGTGTTTAAAGATGTTTACCAGTAATTTGACATAAATGGGAACAATACCAGCGAATTCCTACTTTAACCTGTTAGTTATAAATCAAGTTATAAAAACATTAACAGTGAAGTATAAAATTTCAAATCATAAATATAAGTTTAAAAGAATAAATGATTACATTTTAACTCCAATTCTTTTTTTTTTAAATCATTTATACATTGGCCGGGACTGAAACCAACTGGTTTAAAATATAAGTCAAACTGAATCTGTTTTACCATTGTTGAGTTATAAGAAGTAAACTAAAGTCAACTAATATCGATGTTCATCAGTGTAAAAGGATTAAAATTATCGTTGTGTTACTATCCATAAATTAAAATGTAACGAATAAATTGTGTTACACGGTAATGAAATTTGAAAGGTGAGAAAATTTTGAAATAAGGAAGGAGCTTTTGCGAAGATCCCTTTAATACCCTTTAAATAACATGAACATAAAAAATTGCAGCTTCAGAAGTTCAAATTGTCTTTGTCTTTAGCTTAGAAAAATGGCAGATTATTCTGTAATTTATTCGTCCTTCCAAGTAAAAGGAGTCTAGTAAATATTTTTTTTTTCAGAATGCACTAGCTAACTTCTTCGGTAAATAATTTAGAAATATATTTTTACAAGTTTTTCATAAGTGTTCTACATTCCTAACTTAGCTTCATTGTCTGGAATAAAAAGTAAAGAATTTTAAGTTCTTCATCTGTTTCTTTATTTCTTGATGCTACAGCTGTCTTTGAATAACTTAATTATTTATACATTCGCTAATAGTTTTAATAAGCTTGATTATGAATAAGATTAACTCTGTACTTGAAAGCTACTTTATCGTGGATTTAAAATCCTTCTGTCCTCCTTTCCATCTTAAGGCCATTGTCAGCTTTCTCCATTTGCGATCGTAACCAGTGTCGTCATCACCGAATAGCAGTTATTTCATCCATCTCATTTGAGACTGCAGTTTAAGTCAGCCCCACCCTCGCTACTTCCTACAGGCTGATAAGCTTCTTATCAGCATTAAGGAAGATCGCCGAAGTGATTTTAAAACGCATTCATGACTTCATCGAGGAGATAATATCCTGATTCCATAACACTATGGATTTCGGCAAAAACATTTTACTGCCCATCAACAATATCGAGTTACAGAATTGATTGCTGATGGACTCAAAAACAGACGCATCACTGGCGCCTTCTTTCTTGATAGTTCGAAAGATTTTGATTGTGTATGGTTATAGAGTCTCACATACATGTTAATCACCCTGGGATTCCCAGATTACATCATAAACCTCGTAAATTCCTATCTGTACGATAGAAAGAAATAAAACTTTGTCGTTCGTTATAACCCAACATACTCTACACGAAAAGTAACCCTTGTAGGTTTACCTCGAAGTTTACTTTTGCTTACCCTTTTTTTTAATTTATACGAACGAAATTCCTCACAAACCCTTCACTACACTAGCTTTATACGCAGACGACACTGCAATCCTTCACCAAAATGCGTCTATGGCCGCAGTTGTACAAACATTGCAAGAACACATCCATGCATTAGAGTTCTGGACGGTCAAATGGAAAATTAAAACCAACGTCGAAAAATCAGGAGCAGTATATTTCACCAACAAAAGAATATTAATCTGAACATCATTCTGACTATGTACAACCCAGGGGCCCAGGGGATATATAGTGTGTGTGTATGTATGTATGGTTCAGGGGATCTTTTATGCACTGGGCCAAGCAAGTCAAATACCTTGGTGTCATTTTAGCCCAAAGATTCACATGGGCCACACACGTTACATATATCTTAAATAAATTTCGGAGTACTAAAGCATTACTCAACTCCTAATTTCCTGAAAATCAGTTTTATCTATCGCTAATAAAGTTTTGGTGTACAAATCCATTTTGGGAACAACTTTAGTATTGGTCCTTTTGGTGATTTTTTGATTTGGCGATAAACTTTTGTCGCCAAATCAAAAAGTCACTAAAAGGACCAATTCCCAAAATGGATTTATTAAACGTTTGTCGCCAAAGTAGACCCAGCTTTGAGGATCGGAAAAAAATGACGGATTGTCAACAAAACCCGATAAGGATATCTAGGCTAAACAACAATCCTAAAAAAATAAGCTCATGATTAGAACACTTCAAAAACAAGTCTTTCTCTAATTTTTAACACTTCTAGTACTGCTATGATAAATTCTTGAAACACTGCCATAAATATGGCAGTGGTTCTATTATGAGGAATGAAATTTACAAAAGGTTACTATTTTAAATTACAAAATATAATATTAATTTTATTAATATTTTAAGTATCAGTACTGTATATCATTACTGTATTTAGCTAATATTTTAAATTTGCAAAAGGTTAATAAGCGCATTTGTTACTGAAAGTAAATAAAAAGTATTTCAAATTGAAAAAATTCAAGTTATGATTAGTAAATTTTGTACCAGTGCTAGAAATACTTTTTGTGAATTAAATTTTGTAAATGGTAATATTAAGAAGTGTGTATTTTTTAATCACTCAAGTTATTACAAGTAATTTATGATTATAATTTAAACTTTACTCTACATAGTAAAAGCTTTACATAGCAAGGGTTTAAAGTTGTAGTAATAATATTTGTGGTTGCCTCACTTTTCCATTCTGAAACAGTCTTTCCAACAGCAATTGCGTGATGTTTCTTAACACATGAAATTAATTGATTTCTTAGAAAATAAATCTTATTTCTGAAGTGAAGAAGTGTTGCATCTATAGGTAGAAAAATATGGTCAATATGTTTGCAAAATCCTGTTCAGTTTTGGACAGCATTTAAGTAAAATGAATAATTTGTATATGATGCAAACAAAAATGCATTACACTATTTCATGTAGTGAATAATTAATCCGGGAACAAAGTATAATGTAAGGGTCCTTTATTTTGTACCCATAGTTATTTTATGTTTGGGCCGTGTTTTGTCTTTCGAGACCATGTTACTAGGTTGCTAGGTAAGATGAGATTTGTAGTCTTCAGTCTTGCATTATAATTGAAGATAGTAGAATTCTATTGCCGGTTAAGTTTTAAACCAACTTAACATTAACTTGATTTGTGTAGCCTTTGGATAACAGTTTATTTGAATTTAAATTTTACATTTTAACTTAATTGTTATCATAAGTTATCTTGCCACAAGCGGTTGGCTGAATCGTAAGCACAAATGGTGCCTTCTGTTCTGTACATCTAAACGTTATAATAGAATAAGAGTTATCTTAAGTTTATAAGACTATATCTAGACTTTATAATAATTACATTTAAAAACATTGAAATCAGTATTTAAGTGCTTGCCATGTAGTCAAATTTTTATATATAAATTGTACTCTTACTTTTATTGTAGAGTTTTCATTAAAAAAATTCAGATTTCTGTTAGATTAAATCTTTAAGTAATATAGAAAATTTGCATAAAATTTAAAATCAAAAGTCCAGTTATGTCAACATACTATTAATAGAAGTACTGATACTCAGTGAAAGTTATTCATATACAACTATTAGATTGTGAGATTTACAAAATTTGAGAACTGTAAATTATAAGCAATATATTCCATAAGCAATATATTCACTTATTAGAAGAAAGAAAAGACATCTTATTGTGTTGGTTGTGCATTAGCACTGAAGGCGTAATGAGTACGTTTCCTCAAGCACAGTTTTCATTAAAGAATCATAAGTCAAAAAATTAACTACGAAATCTTGATTTAATAAAATAGGATAATTTTGCTTAACTTAAGCATAACAAAAAGTAATAATCTTCGCAGACATTGAAATACTGAATTATCGAAAAGGAGATAACTTACATAGAGTCATCATCAGTCCTAAATCACCAGGCTTACCTATATTAGGCAATAAGAAAAAGAAGCAGGAACATACTTCGACACCGTACCTGAAAAGATAAAGTACTAACTGTTTTAGACCTTTGGCCAGGTACAAGTAGCTAGGGAGAAAATCAAATATACTGCATTGTACACGAACTTTACTTTCTCTCGCCAATATATATCTTGGCGCACGTTCGTTTCGTATGCCTTTCGAGTTTCATTATGCAAAATACCTAAATTTATGCTAACATTGCCCCTGTTTTGCTAATGAAACTCATATCAATTGCAATTCATTCCTGCAAAACTGAAATTTAGCTTTAGGAATTGGTTTAGTCATAATATCAGCAACCATTTGCTCTGTTGAAAGATAAGCAAGTTTTACTATTCCTTTGTTATTCAAGTCGCGTATATGATGAACTTTTGTATCAATATGTTTTGTGCGCGAACTGAATTTTTCAGATTCTACAAGTCTTATAGTAGACTGATTATCTTCAAATACCTTTATCGGTAGAGTTTGGGGTAGATTGAAATCTTCTGTTAATTTTAATAGCCATAATAGTTCTTGCGTAGCTTGCGATAGTGCAACATATTCAGCTTCTGCTGAGGATAAAGAAACACAAGTTTGTTTTTTTGAAAACCTTGAAATACAGTTTTTTTCCTAATAAAATAACACTTCCTGATGTAGATTTTCTATCTTCAATATCTTGTCCCCAATCAGCATCTGAATAAACTGTAATATTAGGTTCTTCACTCGACGAAATTTGTAAGGATAGATTCTTTGTCGTGTTTAAGTATCTAATGATTCTTTTAACAGCATTCCAGTCCTTTTGACGTGGATTATTACACCTTCTGCTGAGTATGTGAGTTGAAGCTGTGATATCTGGTCTTGTGATAGACGATATATACAAAAGACTTCCAATAGCTTGGCGAAATTTATCATTTGAAGTTAGGAGATTTTCTTCCTTGTTTAGGTTATAATAGTTTGTTTCCATTGGTGTGCTAGCGGGTTTCGCTTCTTCAAGTTGAAATTGCTTGACAAGTTGATTTATTTTATTTTTCTGTGATAAGAGATAACTTCCATCTTCCTTGCGATTTATTTCTATGCCTAAGAAAATATTTAGCTTCACCAAGATGCGTTATTTGGTAACGTTTCTTTAAATCATTAATTGTTTGAAGAATTAGTCCTTCTTCTGTAGAACTTATTAGGATGTCATCAACATAAACTATTAAATTAATTCTTTTATCACGAACCACTTTTGTGAAAAGACACGGATCTGCTTTGCTTTGACTGAACCCAAGATTCTTCAATGTATTTTCAATTTCTGCATTCCAGCACCTAGCTGCTTGTTTGAGACCATAAATCGACTTCTGTAATTTACAAACTTTATGTCTTTCTTCCGGAACCACGAATCCTTCTGGTTGTTCCATATATATTTCTTCATTTAAGTTGCCGTACAAAAAAGCTGTTTTAACATCTAGTTGATGTACCTTGGCATTATTATACGCTGCCCATGCTAAGAAAACTCTTATCGTAGTGTGTTTCACTACTGGTGAAAATGTTTCATCATAATCACTGCCGTATTTTTGAGTAAATCCTTTGGCTACTAAGCGTGCTTTATAAGCGTATTTTATATTTTTACCAGTTTCATCATATTTTGTCTTAAACCTTTGACCAGGTACAAGTAGCTAGGGAGAAAATCAAATATACTGCATTGTACACGAACTTTACTTTCTCTCGCCATATATATCTGGCGCACGTTTTTCGTATGCCTTTCGAGTTTCATTATGCAAAATACCTAAATTATGCTAACATTGCCCCTGTAACCCATTTACTGTACTGTTTACTGCCTACTGTTTTCCTGTGGTAATTCTGTAAGTGTATAGGTTACATTTTCTTTTAGAGAATGTATTTCTTCTTGCATAGCCTTGATCCAAGCTTCTTGTTCACGTTTTGGTAAGTTTAGAATTTCTTCAAAGCTTTCTGAATCTTTATTTTTAGGTAAGATTGATTCTTCGTCTTCTGCTTTATAAGAGAATCTTTCCGGTGGGACCCCTTTGGTTGATCTGCTAGAAACCCTTCTTTCTACATTTTCTTCACATTTAATTAACTCTTCGGAACTTTTTGAATCTTCTGTAAAATCATCGCCAAGAGATGTTTCTTCATCTTCATTGCGAGTTATTGAAGTGAATTAATTCTAAATCTTCAGCATTTTTTTCTGCATGTTTGTCAGATACTGACGCGTTTTCTGAAAATTTAAACAGTTCTACTTACTATTATTTTCCTTCTACCTACATAAATCCTGTATTCCTTACTTCGTAAATCGTATCCTACGAATATTCCTTCTTCGGCTTTGTTGTCGAATTTACGCCGTTTTTGTTTTTCACATAATAAAATGCTTTACAGCCAAATACTCGTAAGTGACTTAAGTTTGGTTTTCTACCATTCCACAATTCATATGGTGTTCTATCTGTGGCTTTAGTTGGTAACCTATTTTGAAGATATGCAGCAGTAGCTGCTGCTTCAGCCCAGAATCCTTTCGGCAATTTAGAGTTTATTAGCATAGCTTTTGTCATTTTTATTAAAGAGCGATCTTTCCTTTCTGCGACGCCGTTCTGTGCCGGACAATAAGGAACTGAAGTTTCATGGAAAATACTAAGTTTCTTTAAATAATTTTCAGTAGTTTCGTTACAGTATTCTGTACCGTTGTCGGATCTGAGAACCTTTATTTTCTTTCTAAATTTTCGATGCAACATATTGTTTAAGTTTGTCGAATACTTCATCTTTTGAAGTAATAAAATAAATTTGAGTATAATGCGAATAGTCATCAATGAAAGTTACGAAATATATTTTCCCTCCTAAGCTGTTGATTTCAATTGGACCACACACATCTGTGTGCACTAAATCCAGTGGATTTTTAAATCTAAAACTAGTTTTGGGATAAGATTTTTCAGTTACTTTCGCTTTTACACAAGTAGAACATTCCACACTATGAGTGCATTTGCCAAGTTTAATGTCGTCTGCCAAATCATTTTTCTCAAGTGTTTTTATGGCATCTATATTTCTGTGGCCTAATCTTTGATGCCATTTTAGTATACAGTTCGTATTTGAACATGAAACATCATTAGCTAAGTATGCTTTCTCGTCAATTGAGTTTACGGTCAATTTATATAAACCTTGCTGAGCGTTGCCGTCGGCTACGAGTATATTGTTACGCTTTATGTAACACTTATTACTATCAAATGTAACAATGCAACCTTTATTCGTAACAGATTGAACAGAAAGTAAATTACTATCTAAACCTGGTACATACAATACATTTTCTAATTTTGTGTAACCTGACCCTTTAAGTTTTGAATTTTAAAATAGCCTTCACCAATACCATAAGAATTTAATTTAGCACCATTGGCTACAGTTACTATTTGTTTATTAGAGTCATTTAACTGAGAGAAAAAATTCTTATCACTCGTCATATGAGTTGAGGCTCCTGAGTCGAAAACCCATTCTTGCGTTTGTGTGTTTTTATCTTTATTTTCCACTTTTAGAACTTGATTAAACTGAATCTGCGAATTTTCAGTTTCAATACTTTTAAGATACTTATTTTCTTTTTATAATTTTGAGAATAATTTCTTACTTTACTGTTATTTACATCTATTTTCGGGGAAGTTCTAGCGTTGCGTTTTAAATGAAAACAGTCATTTATCGTATGGTTATTTCTCTTACAATAAGTACAATATCGTGTAACATACTTTGATTTATTTTCGCTTTTACTTTTTAAAGCAACTGTATTCAACAACAACTGTATTTTAAAGCAACTGTTCGTATTTTTGAACTTTTTTAGTTTCCACACGTCTACAATACTCATCTATAAGTTTGTTTTTTACATATTCTAGCGACAATTCAGCTTCCTATTTACTTTCTATTGCAGTTATTAAGGAGTTGTACGAATTTGGTAAAGAACATAGTAAACTTCTGCCAAACTTCTTTTGCAGATTTACTATGCAAAACACGGATAATTTGCGAATCCGAAATGTTTAAGCATATTAAAGCTTTACGATTATTCTTTAACCAAATATCAATAACAGTTTCCGGTTTTTCTTCGAATACAACATCATCTAAACCTTCTTTTATTAGAAGTTGTTCTATTTTAAATTTCCACACTGAATAATTTTCATCTGTTAACTTTTCTATACAAATTGATTCTTTTAGAATAGACATTATTATTTGTTACAATTATTCTTATAAACTTTGTAACTAGTATTTTCAACAAAGCGTTTTAATACTTTATGCCCCTGGAATCTTACATTACAAAATTTCAATTTTAGAAGCATTTCCACAAAGCAATTACCCTAATCAGTTTCATAATCTTTTGTTGGTTGTGCATTAGGCACTGAAGGCGTAATGAGTACGTTTCCTCAAGCACAGTTTTCATTAAAGAATCATAAGTCAGAAAATTAACTACGAAATCTTTATTTAATAAAATAGGATAATTTTGCTTAACTTAAGCATAACAAAAAGTAATAATCTTCGCAGACATTAAAACACTGATTTATCGAAAAGGAGATAACTTACATAGAATCATCATCAGTCCTAAATCACCAGGCTTACGGCAATAAGAAATAAGGCAATAAGAAAAAGGAACAGGAACATACTTCGTCACCGTACCTGAAAAGATAAAGTACTAACTGTTTTAGACCTTTGGCCAGGTACAAGTAGCTAGGGAGAAAATCAAATATATTGCATTGCACACGAACTTTACTTTCTCTCGCCAATATATATCTTGGCGTACGTTCGTTTCGTATGCCTTTCGAGTTTTATTATGCAAAATACCTAAATTTATGCTAACATATTGTCAAGAAAAGACTGATATTATCGACGAACCGGTACCCATTGTTTCCTAGTTAGGATACTTTGGGGTCATATAAAATGATCGTTTAACCTGGACAAATCACGTTCAGTATGTTAAAGAAAAGGCCCTAGAAGTCATGAAATGCCTATATCCTATCATAGGCAAATTCTCCAAGCTAAACGTAGCTAGAAAGCGACTTCTCTACATCTCTATAATAAGTACAATCATGACTTATGCGTTTCCTGCCTGGACGGCTGTAACACTGGCTGATATTAAAAAATTACAGGTGGTTCAGAGAAAATTTTTAAGAATATAATGTTCATTACCTTGTAAGAAATGATGTTTATCAAAATCTAAAAATTGAACCATAGTAAGATTTTTCAGGACTGCCAATCGGAAGTTCTTTCATAGTGCACAACGATGTGTGCATATAAATTCTTTTGGACTCTTCCACTATGAAGTGCTTACGGAAGATAAATTCTTACGTCCCCTAGCAGCCTTTCTACTCAGTGAAAGTCAGGGCTTTCCCACGTAATACTGTACATATCTGTAAATATGTTTATGTGTATTCAGCAGCGAAGAACCAAATCAAGCAGCAACTGCCAGCGTCTGCACTTGGATGCATGACCAGAGACTTATTTTCTGATTCGCTTCATATGCACATTTTTGAACTTAGACTCCTGTAAATGTAATGTAATTAACAACATATAATATAGTATATTACATGTTGTTATAAATATATATAGTTCTTGGGACATATGTTTTTGCATCTTATCTCATCATTCTTTTGTATTTTTTATCTTGTATTTTGTACATAATCATTGATTTTCAGTATTCACGAACTTAGTATCTCTCACCAACCAGATGAATTCTTTGGATCACGTGACAACTGGTCACAACCCCTTCTCCATCTCCAATGTTGTCCTCCGTGTCACAGCTCCTTTATTCATTTCACCTGCAGCGCTTATGGCAACTAAATCATGACAGCCGGAACAAAACATGCGAAACGCATGTTACTCGTGGCATAGGTAAAACTAGGAACTCGATCTTTTAGACTTCTGACGCCGAGCAGCACGCCCGCATATTACCATCAATGCCATAATTGCTTGGAATAGTAGCTTATCTTGCCATTACACCTGCGACATGCTTATCCGGAATAACGAAAGTTTATGCCAAGACTTATCTAAGCACCTACTTAGAAATTTTTATTCTCAACTAAGAACTCTAATCTAACTCTCAAACGCAGCGCTGCGCATAACTACTTTTTATATTGCCATATAAAAAATTATGCGCAGCGCTACGTTGCTACACACAGGATAAAGCTTACGCCCGGGCGCCTGATATAATGTGAAATTGCATCTAAGTCTTCAAGTCAGCCTTCACTCGCGCGCTTTTCGCTTAGTTAAAAGCACTAAATAGAAATGAAGTGGAGATAAACAATTAGTCAACTAAAATCATCTGCTGCGGCTATTGTTCCTATGATTACGGGGCAAGACGGGAGGGGAAATAGCCTTGACATTCTTATTTAAAAAAAAGAGCTTATGACCTATAATTTTTAACACTTTCTGTTCATTTGCAAGGTTTTCTAATAATTGAAGATAGCTAGCAATACTTTTTTTGATAAAGCAGCGTGTTTTTTAGCGATATGGTGGCCTTTCGTAAACTGTGTATCCTAAGAACTTATTTATTTTACTTTCTTATCTTAGAAATTTTTTTTTTTTTTTTGCTCTTATATCTAAAACATACCAGTAAGCTGTAATAACGTTTTTTGACTTTAGTGTTTGTTTCTAAGAAATGGCGAGATACGAGATATAATTTTAGCATCCCACAGTACTTAGTTTAAGAGTAAAATTATTAAACAACAAATTCAGTTACGAAATAGTAATAATGTTCTGCAGATATATATATGCGACTGACATAAGTTCTGAAAAGAGGAACTTATGTCAGTCGCTTTCTAAATCAAATTTTATATAACCTACTTACATTTAAAGCGTTTTTCTTCGCGGGGGGGGTAATTTTATATTTTCCATTAATGTGCGTATCATCCACAACGGGATTAAAATCATAGTTGATTTATCTCTTATATTTTAAATAACAATAAATTTTTATAACCATACTCACGTACACATGATCTTATTTTACGTAATACTTACTTATTTTATGTAATATTATTATCTTATTTTATGTAATATTTATGTGATATTTATGTGATATTTAGAAGATGAATGACAACCAATTGAAGGATGCAATTTAAAAACATTGGATAAAAATATTTAAATCAGTACGATAAACAACAAAATATAATCTCAAACAAACAAAATAATAAAGAATAATAGCAGCAAATAACAAACATGGAAAGGTTACTCTAATTTCAAATATATTACAAATACTAGACTAGAGAAATATCGTATTTACTAATTTTCAAACTCTGTTGAAACTATTAGTCTTTAACAGTAATGCAATTAAATTTTGTTTCGAGTTATAATTGTTAGAAGATAACATTTTAGACAGTATATGCAACTCTTTAAACACAAAACAACTGCATTTAGTAATGAAGTGTACCTTGCATTAGACCTCTCGAATGCTCGTTGCGTATGCTTCTAGTTACCGTTTCAATTACACCCCGAAGAAGGCGGGAGAAAAATACCTTATAAATTAAAGATAGATATTTTGATGTTCAATTTTGTATTAATTTGCGAACGTTTCCGTTATATAGTTTAATTGTAATTTGCTTAATAAAATGTATAATCAATTAGTAATAATGCAATTAAGAGTGTAATTTCTTAGAAATAAAATCTCTAACCACAGATGAGGTATTCCAGAAATTCTTTTTCATAAACTGAAATGCAGAAGTATAATACTTTCTAAAATGGATCATCGAATTATCGATCTATAATCTTTCATGTAATCCATCATCTAACAAAAAAATAAGGCACTGTGCTGTTTTGAAATGACATTCAATTAAAAGCAAGAATTAGATGTTCTTCCGTAATTTTCGGAATTTTTTCTCTGTTAATTCAATTTAATTTAATTAACAGTAGCCTGGAAATTATACCTCTATTAATTTATTTTTGAACTGCTTATTAAATAATATTTTTAGTCATTAATTTTAATTTTAGCTTTCTATTAGTTTATTAAAATGCTCAGATCTCTTAAATGTTTTTTAAATTTGTAAACCAGAGGTTTTTACCTACTTCAACTACGTAAGGAAAACAAATCAATGCAAAAATCCACACATCTAAGGTCATTTTACTACTTGATGTTGATGACACAGATTTCCGCTTTATCACTTACTCGATAATTTGCCACTGGAGCTAAATCCTCTGTCATTTATATACAGAAAACATTAAGGTTCTTGGTCTGGGTCAATTCTAGTTAATTAAGCACTAAGGGCACCCACCTCGTCAAAGCGTCCAATTTATGTGGGATAAGGATAAATCTTCTTTCACAATCAATGAATTATGTCAATGTACGGAAGCAAAAGAAAAGGTTGATGAATTAACCTGGCTTTTAGGTTTTCTTCTTTTGTTGGCTAACCCTTTGCGTCAATGCATAATTTGCAATAAAAAGAGAACGAAGATAATCTAAAATTTTTTTCTCAAATAAATTTTGTTTTCTGAAGAAGTTTTTGTCAGGAACTGGTATTTTTATTAATGGTTTTGCAGAATCTGTATTGTCCTTTTTATTTTCTTAATTAACCTTGCACTGCTTTTAATTTTGAATCTCGGGGCTTTCGCTGCAATAAAATTGGTCAACCAAATTTTGGAGGAAGCATCGTAGCTTATAGCATTAAGAAAACTAAGTATAAGTTAAACTAACAAAATAAAACATATTCAGTTTTATTCATTTGATATTTTGAAATCATTTTAAATATGCATTTAATTTATTATATGCATTTGCTGTCATCGTATTAAAACTGCAGGAAGGTTTGTCATTTTTTATGTTATCATTGAAATTTGTTTTGTATTGGATAGGATTGTTTTCTATTTTATTATTGCTAAGCACTCGGGGACTATCTGTTTAGGGTAGAGATTTACAGACAGGAATTTCTAAGGGAAACGTGCTCGAATTCATGTTATTTGTGACGAAAGCTACGTAAACTCCCATGAAATCAAGTCGTTGGTCTTTGACCTCAGGTCCAACTATATTAGTATTCAGAGATTTTTTATCGCTCGGTCTTTGGTGGGATATTTTCTGGTATCGAACCCAATGTTTTTCACTCTGCTAAGAAATATGTGATATGCATATTATTTTTAACTATTTTATTTTGTTACGCTGACTAGCATTATATTACTATTATTCGGAAACCGAAAAATGGATAGGTACAACTTCTGCGGCCTGATCGTTTATTTCGCTCTTACAGGGTTTTAGATTTAGGTTAAAAGAGAGAAAGTCCCTCCTAGGTAATAAAAAAAATTAGAATAGTATGAAGATAACAGATCATAAAAGGAACATAATTACATGTGATTGTATCTTAGTTCTTATAATAGCTCGTGTAATGCTGTCCTGCAATCTATTAATTTTTCAATAGTAAACAAATTATGTATCAAATGCATGCTCTGAAGACCGAGCAGCTTATTGTGAACACGAAAGAGGAGATATAATTCTGTTCTTAAAATAATTTGTATAAATCTTTTAGACAAATATTCAGTAATTATTGGCGTCTTATATCTTGTATGCTTTAAATATTGTACTATGAGGTTCTATGTAGGAAACAAATGTAGTAATATTAACTAGTTGAAGGCAAAATAATCTAAAATGTGATTTAATTACTTTGCAGAGACATTAGGCTATTTTAACTGCAACTATATATTTTTGAAGCTATAAAGTACCGTATACTACTTGACAGTTCTGTTTTCATGCAAAATGTCGTTTTTAAAGAAGCAATGGATGGAAGGCTATGTTTGTGCTTTTTCCAAAGAAAATTAGTCCAATATAGTTATTAAAAAGCGCTGTGAAAGCCATGGTTTTTCGATATCTAAAGCTACGGCAGGTGATATCAACAAGAAAGGCAAAAATCGTCAATGTTTGGCTTCAAGCGGAAAATGTGTTCCAAATACATATCCAAGAAAACAATGGAATGTTTCAAACGTTGCGAAGGTAAGATTTAAAAAAAAAAATACGTTAAGTCAAAGGACAATTGTAAAATAATTTAAATGCTCAGATTCAACTGTAGACATATTCAACTCTATATTGAGTTGAATATTAAAAAGTTTAATAACCATAACATGCATCCTCTTTCTCCGCGACGCAGAACACGCTGCAGAATTCTTTATGAGAAACATTTATCCGGACAAAAATGTTGACATAATAGATAAATATTGTTGTATTTAAATGACTGCAATAAAAAAACCTGTTTATTATCATTAACGAGGAGGGAATAAAAGCTCAAAACATGGTACAAAGAGTCTTTTTTTGAAAGAAATGAATCAAAAATTTTTTTCAAAGGTATTTATGATAGCTGCTGGTTTTTCAAATAACGGTAATTTAAAAATAAAGAGAGTAGAGAAAAATGT